ATTTCGTGTCTTCAGTGAAACTTGCTACGAAAAAATAAATAAATATTTTTGCCCTAAAATTTTTTCTTGACGATTGAACATTAGCTCTTAAGTGCTAATATGAGTGATTGTGTTTATGTGAACAATTTTGAAGCTCTCTACGCTCAATTTTTAAAAAAAAAACTATCAAATCTGATTCCTTGCTCGTTATATTTTACCAAAACATGAAAAATAATCTCTTTATATATGTATAAATATACATATATTCTTTATATTCATTCTTACTTTGATTCCAGTTATCCATTTTACACTTGAGGTCAAGTTTTGTTGATATGATTTCAATTACAAAACAAATGTATTTCATTTACACATACTTTCAAAATCAAAAAATATATATGCCTGTGTAAGAAGATAACATATGTTATTATTTTAAATTTAATATTTTTTTAATTATTGTCATTAGTTTGTCTAACGTCTTTCCTTCGTCCCATTGACTTCAAGTAGCTCCAGAAAAAATATTCTGGCAGTTTCAAGGCAAGCAAAAGTCGAGACCAGTATAAAGCACTATTTTATGATATCAAGCAATCGGAGCAAAACCTAAAAAAAAATTAATTTTTACATATTCCATGCCTATAAGGTGGTGTGACATCTGTTGGAAACCAAAAGTGGGGAATACTATTTTCAAGATAAATCAAATTGACGGTTGTTGCTTTATACCTGACTCTGAAAAAGAATATTCTAAAAATCATATCAACAAAAATTCGTGACTACATAGTCACTTTTCAATAATAAAGTGATACTTTTTCTATAGTTTCTTATGGTGTAAAACCGACAATTTGATTTTTATTTTATTTTACATGAATTGCCGCTTATTACTCATAACGATTATTTTCCATAAATTCCCCTGGGCGCCAGTGCGATGTACTGGTGTGTACTGCTCCATGGCAAAAATTTTTTAAGACTAACCTTTCAAACTAATGCTCTCATTAGTGATTCTTTATTGACAAAGTTACCAGATACGTAATATAGTCAACCCTATACTCCAATATGTAATTTTTGTTTTAACCCGCGGGGACTTGCTTGAGAAATCCATTTGGGGTATATTGAACGGCACCTGGTCGTCCAAATTAACGATTGGCCGGACGTAGACTCTGCAATTCTTGGAATCATGCTCTTAGAGTAAAGGAGTATAGTATTTTAGCTCCTATCACATACAACTCCTATAGTCAGTGGAGTTTTGGCTGTTGAAGTTGGGTATGAAAAAATTCATTTAAATTTTCTCTTCGAGAAACAACGTAATTAAATTCAAAGCAAACCAATATCTTTTTAATATTATATACATATCGACTTTTAAATATACCTTGAGTGTTAAATTATATTTATTTATGTATAAATGTTGATCCTTTTTTCGAGTCTGCGCAACTAGCCACTTTTACTCTTTCATAGCTGGGGGTACTACAGGGTCCCACCCATCTCATTGACTAATTTATGTATTCCTTATAAGCTTCATGATTATTTAGTGATTGATCTAAGATCTGCGTACTTCTCCGTGCGGAGAGTGATTTATTTATGTATATTTAAATAAATAAATATTTAAAATATGTTTTGAAGTGTTCTTTAAAGCCTTTAGATCTTTTTTAAAGCCTTTAAGTCTTCTTTAAACCCTTTAAGTTTTCTTTAAAGGCTTTAAGTCTTCTTTAAAGGCTTAAAGTCTTTAAGTATATATTTAAGTCTTTTTTCGGGCAGAAACGAAATGACTTTCTAAGCAAAACAATTTCTTTCTAACACTATATACTTACTCATCTACTTGATAGTATGTTATTGCTGTAAAAAATATAATTTATTTATACAATAATGCATAAAATCTTTGTATATGTTCTTTAGGTATTGACGTTTTCTTCATATGTTGGAAATTCCTCTTCAATTTTAATTAATTATAATTTCCCAGAAAAAAAAAATTCCTAGAAAATCAATTATAAAAATTTTTTTAAACCGCTTTTGCCAAAATAAGCTTAAATCACAAGTTAAGCTGATATCAAATTATAAAATTTTGTTCAAATAAAATATTAAACACATTTTTATTTGCCTTCCTCCTGGCTGCCATTAGAGAAACTTGTTGACAGCGAATTCTAGAACTCAATCACAATCTTCAAACTCAGGCTTGCACTGCAAGTGAATATTTCATTTTCCTCATTTCCATTTCAATTTGAGTTGTCAGAAGGAATAAAAAGCGCTGCCAGCACCGAGAAAGAGTAACCGCAGAACCACAGACAACCCGCTTTTGGCAGCGCAAAGATGAGAATTCTTTGAACGCACGTTTCTGACACAACACAATTCGAAACGACAACCAAAAGACAGGATTATTGTTATGTCAATTGCAAATAAAGAATATTATTGGGTATCTTATAATTTTTTCCACAATCTTCCACCCTAGCCGAGCCGAATGCATGGCAACAATCGCTAAGAATGTGAATGTGAGTAATAAAAGTATGAGTAAAGATGATAATCAGTCAATATAAATAAAGCATTAAGTTAGAGAAATATTTTATAATATTAAATCTCTGCTTCCAACATAACACACGACTACATACTATACTTACAATATGTGAGTATGTGAGTATCGATAGGACAATCGATATTGCAGGGAAAGTATCTGCGCTGATGATTCTAATAAATCCGTTGGCCTAAGTGGCATTAGCTATACAAACAAAATCAGATATGAATTTTTAATGCATAAATCGATTTATTGCCAACAATTTAAAAGCAAAATAAATAAATAAATGGAAAGAAGATAAAAGTATAAATTTAAACGAAAAAAAAAACATACTTTAACCGAATAAAAAAAAAATAATATAAGTAAAATAAAATAAATATATATATAATATATAAAAGCAATAAAACTGCATATGAACTAATATTGTGCCATTTTGTTTGCGATTCGGCCAAAGTCAAGTAGAAAAAATAAAACAAAAAATATTAAAAAAAAAATATTAAAACTCCATAAGAAAAATATAAGAAAATCCGTTTTTGCAGTTCCAGATTTAATGTGCCAAAGCACTTTACGTACACAACATGACTATAGAGAGGATATGGATACGATACGATACGATACGCGCGATACGATATTTTACGAATGTGGATAGCAGGATAGCTTATGGGGTAGTATGCTAGTGCACTGCTTTCCGTACATCCACTTCGGCCGCTACCATGGGTGGTCGAACTTCAATGCCACGTATTGGTTGTCGATCCAAGTGATGAATTACTTTGTAGACTTCGCTTCTATTTAAGTCGATTTTCCTTTCAGGCTTCTGGTACTTCATGAAGTTTACTCTGTACATGTGCAAATATGTACATTTTTTATATGAATTAATGTGCAATTTGAACCAAAAATAGAAGAAAATAAAAGAAAACAGAAGAAAACTTGTTAGCATAAAAAATATTAAAAATGATATTGAACAAGATACGAAATGAAATGAACAAAAATGTAATATTTTTATGTCATTGAAATTAAATGAATGCGAAAGCAAAAAATATGGTCAAATCTTATGAAATGATTTTTTCGTGCACATTTGGTTACTGTCATTAGCATTAAATTATACAATATTTTCTTCATTTTTATTTTTTATTTTTTTTTCTTTTTGGTATAAGTTTAATGAATAATGTATTTTTCGTTAGTTATATTACATTGAGAAGCGCATAGCTATCAGGCAAAAAATATACTTACTTACGAGAAAGTATCTTACTTGTGTATGGCAATATATACATACCTCTGATTTACTAACTGCTTTGCAACGCAGACACTCTGACATTCTCTACAATTGTAGCATATTTTATGAAAAGAAAAATATTTCTAATATTATAAAATATTGATTACTGACCTATTTTTAGCTTTTTGTTTAAAAAAGATTTCAAGAAAATTATTAAAGTATCTTAATGTTTATGTAGCAGTTGGTCTAGTTAAAAAAATCGTATATCTGTTTGTACAGCAATTGCTTGAAAATTGTGTATTTGAAGCAATAAAAAATGATGAGAGATGCTTGGTCGTTATAGTTGCTAAGTGAGTCCAGAACGTAGATCTGACCGCTCCGCGTTTCCACTCACACCTCATGTATTCCTTATTCCAAACGACTTGTTTTCTTGTATAAGTTAACACCCGTGGCCTTTTGAATCCGGTCCCTGCGCTTGGTTATATTCACTGCAGAATCATGCTATATTAAGCGAATGCATGATTGCTGCCAAACGGGACATCAATTTGTTTTTCTGAAAAAGCCCCGTTTGGCTTTGATAGCTCTCAACTCCATAAAAGTGTGCTCGTTCACTTTTACTAAGGCTATAGTGGTAAGAACACACTAAATAAAAATTTTGTTGACTCACGTATTCGAATTTTGTAATTCATTGCATACTTCCTGCAATAGAGAATTCATCAGGCTATAAAAACAACAGCCAACTTACACACCCTACTGATACCGAAAACGCACTCCTTAGACTTATCACATCACACAGACTTAACTTGTTGAAATGACAAAACAAGCTATAATAGCCTAATAGAAAATCAACTAACAACCTTTACTCTAATGACGGCAATTAATTAATAGTTATTTATCACATTTTTGTTCCTCCCGATAAATGGTCCAACAAACTTTTAAAGTACTGTTTCTCTAAAAACCGGTTGTTTTTTAGAAGTCAAAGCTGGTAAGGAGCAGAGAAAATGCTTAATTAAGTATCGCACAATGTTATTAGGTAGCTGAAGATAATAGATCTGAGTACTTATTTGATTACTCTCCAGAGGAAGTAGACCATAACCCCTAGCTATGTCTAGGAAAATACCAAAGCTACGTGCTACATATATTGCAAGGAAGTTTTGAAAATTTGTTAATTGAAATTCTACAAACTGTGATTACATTTATATATCTACAGTTCACACATAACTATGGGTGTTAACTTCTAACTAACATTTATGTCCCTACAGGTATTTTTAAATTAAGACTTAGTGCATAAAGTACGTTAAGTACATTGCAGTATCAGATGCAAACAAAGGATTGAATATCTGAACACTTATAGCTAGGCCCATAACCCAAAAAAATTTTCGGGATCGGCTTTTAAAAAATTTCAGTGATTTAAAAAACAATCTTTATCAATACATTCTGTACAATGCAATGTCTCTACTGATTTCGTGTCTGCTTGTAGCGTCCTTTTTGCATTGCCTACTTCCTCGAAGAACTCAAACCGCTCATGTGAGCAATTAATAATGTTTTTGAGGGCTTTGAAGTTGATCAGTAATAATATTAATTAAATTAAGAAGTTCATTAAATATGCTTACACTCCAGCCACCGCACCATTTCACTGCGGTGCTCAGTGTCTATAAAGTTTGGAGCAAGTACTTACCGGAAAGCTCGTCGAGATATGTTTTCGCCATTAAATAAACGATTCCACAATTCAATCTACAATAAAAACAAAAATAAAGAAAAGTAAACACAAAACCACATTTTTGTATAAAAATAATAAAAATAATAAAAATAATAAAAGTAATAAAAAAAAGGAAAATAGAAGAGGAAAGTAAAAATAAGGCAAGCAAAATGCAAAGTGATGCATAAAAACATTCTGCTAAACAAATAAATGAAAGTAAAATTTGGTGAAAATGTAAAATTAATGAAAATATGCCATGAAAATTCTGTTGAGTAACGTGCGTTAAGGCCACAAAAGTTAGGCGAAAAGGCAGTCAGTCAGTCAAAATATGGGTATATGGAGCACTGTATATAGTCGCATGTATGAAAGTGTATATATGGAAGCGTATGGCTGGATGGTATTTCAGTATGTGCAGATCCGTGCAGAATTCGAGTACAACAACAAAAACAAGAAGAAAGTTAATAAAAATGCGTTAAAATTATTTAAATAAAAATTTATGTAAAAAATGTTCATCATAGCAGCAAACAAAATTTAAAATGAACTGAAAACATTTAAAATGCATGAAAAATAATTTCCAAAATGGAGTAAGGCACAGAGTCTCTACCTTGAGTCATAACCCAAAAGTGGGCTTTCAAAGGTGCAACTTATGTATTAAATTTTATGTAAGAAGATTGTTGAGCGCAGATGTGGCGTACGGTTTTATGTATGAGCATGAAATTATAATAAAAATGTTATAAATTTGTCAATAAAAGTGGTATAACAGTAGCAATTTATATTATTTTATTAAATGAAATTAAATGAAATTTTGCAATAATTTGAACATGAATGCCATGAATTATTTTCACCCAAAAATAAACTGATATTTATAGTCAGATATATGTGTAGTTAAATAAGAGAGAAATAAGAGAAAAAAATTTACCCTAAAGTTGTGCCGGTTATTAGTTCCGCTTGTGCACTTAATGTTTCCGCTATGAATTCATCATTATAAGCATCTTTGGGTCGATACCAGCGACGTCCACCGGGCAATACTAACGGACGCTCTGACGAAGGAGTCAATGGCCCAAATGCACGTTTCGAACGTTTCGGATTACTTTTACGTTCCCAATGTTCTTCGAGCTCCTCAATGACCTCATGTCTCTGTTTTTATTGTTATAAACACACAAATATCATTTGGTTTTGTAGTTTATTTTTGCCAATGTTGAGTGTTTTGTTTGTTTGTTTGGATGTGTATCGTTTAAGGTACAATAAAAAAATATAAACAAAATATTGGCAGTTGATAAATCAAAAATGTTTTCATTTATTAAAACAACAACAAATTAGCAAGCATATTTTCATTAGCTTAATTGTAAAATTTATACTTCAAATTAAACTAATAACAAAATTTCAAAAAGCAAAAAAAAAATAAACAAAAAAAAATTGAATTCCAAAGGTTAAAAGTTTGAGAGAGAATAAGTTCTCTAGAATATGTGTGGAGAAATTCCCTCCTACGTATATTTTCAGATATCAAAATGTACTGCTAGTCGCTGAAAAAATCAAAATCTTTTAATAAGGACATTTAGGGCTAATAACAAAAGTTGAATTAATAACTTAAAGACTGACAAGTGCTATTGTTATATTTCTGTATGAAAATTTAATGGATTTCTATATTCCGTTGAATTTTTGTATAGATGGGAAAAATTTAAATGGAACTTTAATAATAATAGACTTCGTTTATGTAAATTAGAAAGGTTTCATAAATTTTTAATTTTCTTTGTTGCTAAAAATAATTTGAGAATTGTGAGGAGTTCATTCTCCTTTTGACAATAAAATGAAAATAAATTAAGAACTAAAATTAGAAAAGCTACTATGTTAGAAGAGTAAGAGGTTAGATACGCTCAAAATTAGAGTTCTGAATATGTTAGCGTTTAAATAAATTAAACTAAATTTTTCTTAAATTGTTGAAAATTTCTTTATAAATAACAATTTATTATAATTTTTAATGAAATGGAGAAGAAAAGTTTTTGTGCAACATATTAAATGGCATTATTTTATGATAAGATGCGACTTGTTATACATTATATTCAACTATAGTTTTATTCAGCTTATAACATGATAGAAATTTTCTTGATAGAAATGCAATACATGCGTTACTCCGATATTACATTCAACTTTATTCAACAATATATTTTGCTTCAATTTTAGTACAGTTTACCAAATATGCTTATAAATTTCTATAACTATATCAAAATGTAGTTCCGACTTTTGGGAACAGGTAGTAGTCGCTACCGGAGAAATAGATATCGAAAATATACTATCTGCGGAAGTAAATCGATTTGTAGTTCATAATAAATATCTCCCACATCTGTGTCTTCAAGGTCTTGGTTTTGACCTATTAAAGCTCATTATTCTATGACAAGTTTTAATTTCGTCAATTAATATATATTAGTATTATGATTTAATTTTAATAAAATCATCTCTTAACTTCTGTAAGTTTTAACTGCTCTAACATTTGTTAAATGACTTGATTAAACCTTAAACATAACCATAGCTCCTTCCTCAAGTCGTAGCTTTGTGCTTTACGAACAGATACTAATTGCTGCTTAAATAATAAATCTACAAATCGGAAAGTAGATCCACTTAGGTCTATTGACACATTGTGTTATCGTTTAATAGAAAAACTTAGGATTAAAAACCACCTAGAACCCTTGACGATGCTCAAAATGCTATTTAGAGGGCGGTCTTTTAGTTTATCAAAATTCTCAAAGAAGGAAGTCACTAAAGTATTGATTCGTCGACGTGCATGAGCTGGGCAACGACAAATCAGATGCATTTATCTGCGGCAGGTATGATATAAGAAGACATTCAATCTTCTAGTATGGTTTTCTAATCTACAACGTCCTGTACTATGCAAACCCATCACAAGGTTGATATCTCTACGGAGCATCTCAACAAGAGAATTGAATGGAATTAGTGGTACGTATTCAAATATTTATTTTTGTTTCAGTTTCAATTCTTTGAATCAAGTCTTATCTTGATGAAATATCAGAAAAAATACGTTCAGTGAGTGCCGAAACAAGAAATTACATGGATTTCAAAATATTTTGCGGTGCAATACTGACTTGCGAACTAGTTATATGATATAAAAGTTTCAATTACAATTATATTTGTATGAAATAACTTGTTTAAAGCCATTTAACTTATTATTTCGCATTTATCGAGTTAAAAGCGATAATATCGCTAAGGAATACGGCTCAGAATATAGTCATATTTTGAGACAAACCTTGTAAACGTTTTTTTTTTTCAAATTGTATCAGTATAATTTCAAGAAGTATATATCACACAAAAACTTTTCTCCCTATAATATTATTTAATATAAAATGAAATATTATAAAAAAAATTATTTCGAAATTAAACATATCTATTGTTTTTATTGTAAAGTTCATCTATATTGTAAATAATAAATATTGAACTCATACATTAGAGTTCTAAGAAAATAGTTAACCGAGTTCGAGTAGCGGGGAACTTCAAAAATTCTTCTACTTTAGATCTATAATTCTTCTTAAAGGGAAAGTTAACTTTGCTGATAATCTTCAGTAGTTACTTTTCATTAGTTCTGTATTTCCTATACCTACATTGACAACATTTTATATTTAGAATCTAGAATTTAGTTTCAAAATCTTTAACAATTCTTTTTCTTTAATTCTGTATTTCTTTTTTATGGGTAAACTAATTTTGTTGATCATTTTCAGGAATCATTGCAATTCCGGAATCTAGAATTTAGGTTAGCAACTCCTTCTCTTTAGTTCTTTAACTCCTATTCAAGTGTAAGTTAACTTTCTTGATCATTTTTAGGAATCATTTTTCATTGGATCTGTATTTCCTATACACTGGTAACATTTTATATTTCGAATTTAGGCTTAAAATCTTTATCAACTCTTTTTCTTTAGATCCATATATCCTATTCATTCGGAATTTAACTTTATTGATAATTTTCAATAGTCATTTTTATTAGGTCTGCATTTCCTATTTATTGGTATATTTTATATTTAAAATTTAGGTTAAAAATATTTACAAATTCTTTTTGTTTACCATAGATCTGTATTTCCTATTCATTGATAAATTAACTTTGTTGTTTATTTTCAGGAATTATTTCTAAATAGTTCTGCATTTCATATTAATGACATTTTATATTTAGAATTTTATTTTACTCCAACTTTTTAAAGTTGAAATTCAGTTCTAACTTAACTGAAGCACATATATCTACTCTTTATTAAACACTAAATCTAATCCTTTGACATTCCTTTCTACATATACTTTTTTCTAATATTTTATAGTTTCGCTACATACCTTTTGCTTTTTTAAGTTTTGTGTCTCATCCATTTCTGCCATTTGCTCCTTTTGCTCGACCATTTGCTGTGCTTTACGGGACTCCACTTGAGACTCTTCCATCTTTTTATCTCGCTCTTCCGCAATATTACACTTGTTGTTAAGGCTATCGTTTTGCTTATTTTCAATTGGCACTTCATTATCAACGGATTTCAATTCAACGCTTTCATTACTCTCTATTGCATCTGCAAAGCAATAAAGTAATTAATTTCGTTATATTTTCATTTTTTTTTTGTTTTTCTGTTGTCTTTTTTATAGTTCACTTGAAGTTATACTATAGTTCTTTCCAGTTTTATAATAAATTACATTTTACATTTCTGTGTTTTAAGTACCTTGCACATCTGCTCGCCTTTCAGTTTTGTTATCCTCTGCAGTCTCTGCAACTTCTTCGATCTTCTCCAAACTAATTTCACGTGGTACATTTTCGACTTTCAATGGTTTTATTTCTTGTAACTTAAATGTTGGCAACAATTCAGCCAATTGTTTCGTAACTGCATCCAGTGTGGCTTGTATGGTTGAGGGTAAACTCGAAAGTGCTGCCAATTGTTTTTGTACACTCGCAAGTTGTTGTTCTAGTGCAAGTTCTTCTTCTGTTTTTTCAATTTTCTCAATTTTTTCAAATTTTTCGATTTCGATTTTTTCAGTGTTTTCAGTGTTTTCAGTTTTTGGCACCGCAGCATATGTGCTCTGTTCATTTTCATACTTTTCCGCATTTATTTCCACTTCTGCATATTTATTGTCGTCAATGGTTTCCTTATTCTCAGGCGATGCTTCCTTTTCCTTATCAATTTTTTCTTCATCAGTGGCTTTGTCGTCATCAACATCATCTTCATTAGTTTCATCTGCTGTGTTATTAGTATCGATTTGTAATGCTTCCAAATTTGGCACATCAATTTCCTCAGCAGGCTGCGCCACATTTTCTAAAACATCGGACACGGTTTCGTTTTGTGAACTTTCTGCCATGGTTTCTTCAGCATTTGTGGTATCAGTATTTTGCGTTGCATTGGTAGGCATGTCAGTTTCTTTTTGCTTTTATTAATGAAAAAATATATAAAAATTTAATAACTTTTATTATATTTATATTTCCTCTCAACTTACCACGAATGGCGAAACCGAGTCACGTTCACTTCTTGGTTGCGACTTGACAATTTTGACTTTATAAGCATTGGCAGCTCTGCGTTCAGCTTCGAGTTGCTGTCTACTTTTTGGTATTGGACGATCTGGTTTCTGTAAAAATGTAGTCCATTTTTTGTTTTCTTTATCCTTTTCTGCTTTAGTTTTGATAGCTTCTTCGTTGAGTGTTTTCAATACAGCGCTGGTCATACAAACACCAGGCTTGGGAAAAATTCTATAAAAATTAACGCTAACGCAATAGTATTAAGTACAAAAATTTAAAACATGCAATAAACTAAAGTATTTTCTAACACACCCCATAATATTATGTTCTTTAAGAACTTCAGATTCACCAGAGAGTACCGCTGCTATTTCTTCCTCTACCAAAATGCGTTCTGTATTCTCGGATAATACAGAACATGATCTCTCTGAGCATTCACACTCTTCCTGCTTGAGTTCATCCAAGTGTTCGTTTGGAATTGGACTTTTACCGATACTATTAGCATCGACCAAAGATTCTGGTGTTGCAGAACGTTCTGTATCTTTGACTGGAAAATGTTTTGGTATATCTTCTGGCTCCTCATTTTCCCTGCAATTTTGCTTTTATAAATACAAGTAAGCATTACTGGTTGGCTTATCAATAGCTTGCCTACCTATAAACACCGAAAAAAAAGACATTACCGCACTTCGTAATGATTTTGTTAACCTCATCATGCGTTAGGGGTGTGGCTGCAATGTCATTAATACGCACAATGACATCGCCAGCTTTTAAGCCAGCCTCCTCAGCTACGCCACCCTCATTTACCTTGAAATATATATAAAATGTCATTTATCGTACTTTGTGGCTTTTGTTGGCTTATAAAGCTTTTTTGTATATAGTTTGCGTTACATTAAATTGTCAATTTCAAATAAAATATCTCACACATGCTTAACCAAAAACTAAAAAAGAACAAAAGCCAATACAACACAAGGGAAGAAGTGAAAAACTAATAAGAAATCATTTAAGGGCAAAAAGCAATAAATACTTCAATGAAACTTATAGCTAAATTACAAATTCCTTATTTATCGAAAAAAAAAATAAAAAAAAATATATAACGTATACAACAAAGAACAAAAGTGAAATAAATAAATTGTATCTAGGAAGACAAAATTGGAATGAAAAAATTAGTTGTAAGGCAAGCGTTTCTAGTCTGCGCTAGCAAATTGCTAGAAATATCGGGCAGCTATATAATTGACATTTGACAGTTGCACACACATGAACTATGGATGCACTTTAATGACAATTAACGTGACACGTGCTAAATGTCTTAAAATAAAATAAAATAAATTCAAATAAAATAAAATCAAATAAAATCAAATCAAATAGAATAGCATAAGTAACAATGCATAGAATGTATCTAGAGTTGGTTATAAATGTTTTAGATACACAATTGATCAACACACTTCTTGTAATTAAATCTGAAAGCACTTTGATTGATTGATGTAATGTTGAAATCCATAGTTGACATTTCGATTTCAGGAACATAAACTAAAAATTGTTAGCATTTTCATTTTAAAGGTAAATATTTAAAGATTTTATAATCCCCCTCAGCGATTACAGATACCTGTATTTTTAGGGAAGTAGTTGACGTATATACAGTTTTAATTTCTGTTGAATTTTATATATAAATGAATGGATGAAAAATTTTTGTAATTCCAAATAACTATAATTAAGTTTGTTATAGGAGTATTGAAACTAAATAAAAACTAAATACCTAAATTAAGGAAGATTGTTGTACATATCACGTCAAATATGGGATTTATGTTTGTTTTAAAAAATTGGAATGAGATTTTTCATACATTTTAAGTTCCCAAATAAATAAGATTTTTTCATATAAGCACTGCAAACAATTTTTAAACAATTGACTAAGTAAATACACCGATTTAAATGGATGGAAAGCATGTCGAATAAATCTTTTTAACCGAAATTAATTCCACAATGTTGCTAGAGCTTTTTGGATAACTTTTACGTCCACAAAAAAATGTTCATTGATTTGAAACTTAATTTTGTTGTTGCAATTTCACTACAGTTCGAGAAAAACCTTTCTATTGAAAACAATAGTTCATGATAAAAATAAAAATTCGTTCTTCAATACTAAAGTTAAAAATCAATTTAGCATAAAATAATTTCTCCAATAATTTATACATTCAAATGTACTAAAGCGTGCTGCTACGGAGAGTAGCTGATCTTACTGACATATATAATCTAGCCAATAGCTAGAAGTCCTCACGAAAATAGCTGTTTTTAAATGTCTTGATTACTTTGGCATTTTGTTTATTATAAAACTTTAAAATAATCAAATGTTTTATTAAAAGGCGACAATTTTATATTTTTTTAAAAAAGATAAACATGTCCTTTAATGTATCTTTTACTAAGTTAATTTTACATTTACATATTTGTTTAATGTTGCCTATACTACGTTAATTGAACCTATACTAGTTTAGTTCAACCTCTATTAGAGTAATGTAACTTCTGCTAGATTAACATAATCTTCACTAATTTAATATAATCTCAGTCTAATAAATTATGTACGAACTATAAACTATTTAAATAAAAATTCGAATATTTTCTAAGACCACTA